ATTAGCCGGGCGCGGTGGCAGGAGCCTGTAGTCCCAGATACTGGGGAGGCTGAGGCAGGAGAATGGCCTGAACCCAGGAGGTGGAGCTTGCAGTGAGCCGAGATCGCGCCACCGCACTCCAGCCTGGGCGACAGAGCGAGACTCCATCTCTAAAAATAAAAATAAAAAAATAAAAATGCAAAAATTAGCTGGGTATGGTGGCAGGCACCTGTTATCCCAGCTACTTGAGAGACCGAGGCATGAGAATCGCCTGAACCAGGGAGGCAGAGGTTGCAGTGAACTGAGATCGTGCCACTGCACTCCAGCCTGGGCAACTAAGAGAGGCTCAGTCTCAAAAAAACACCAAAAAAAAAAACCCCCAAAAAACCAAACAAACAACAAAAAAACCCTCACCACTAGAAACTAGACTTCCCAAAAAATATTTTGTTAACAGACCTGTCTAGCTGCATGTACACCATATGCAGACACAAATCCAGCCAAGGGCTGTCAATGTCTCCACCACACCAAATTGTCTTCTTGATGTCAGCCCTAAGTTTTAACTTATTAAGTAACGTAAGACACTAAAGTCTCATACTTTGAAAATACCTTTAAATTGTGAATCATCGATGCAAAAGAGAAATTTTGCTTTGTATCCTGGGGAAAAAATTCAACATAAGCACAGAGGCAGACAATGGGTGATTGTTCCCACTTTGGTTTCAGTACATTCCAAAGCCAGACAGTGCTTCCCAGTTGTTGGAAATTAAACAGTCATTTGAGGTGGCCTCTGGTGCGTTGTGAGCAGACACAGAAATGTTTGCTGAGGCCAGTGCCCTTTAGAAGGAGCTGTCCAGGTGATCCTACAGTCTGCCTACCATTTTTATTTTATTTATTTTTATTTTTTATTTTTTTGAGACAAGAGTCGCACTCTGTCCCCCCGGCTAGAGTGCAGTGGTGCGATCTCAGTTCACTGCAACCTCTGCCTCCTAGGTTCAAGCATTTCTCATGCCTCAGCCTCCCAAGTAGCTGGTATTATAGGCACGTGCCACTATGCCTGGCTAATTTTTGTATTTTTAGTAGAGATGGAGTTTCACAACGTTGGCCATGCTAGTCTTGAACTCTTTACTTGTGATTCGCCCACTGTGGCCTCCCAAAGTTCCGGGATTACAGGTGTGAGCCACCGCCCCCAGCCCTATTTATTTATTTATTTATTTAGAGAGAGGGTCTCACTCTGTTGTCCAGGCTGGAGTGCAGTGGTGCAATCACAGCTCACTGCAACCTCCATCTCCCAGGCTTACGTGATCCTCCCACCTCAGCCTCCCGAGTAGCTAGAACTATAGGCCCTCACCATTATGCCCAGCTAACTTTTTTTTTTTGTTTTTTTTTGGTATTTTTTGGAGAGGCAGGTTTTTGCCATGTTGCCCAGGCTGGTCTTGAGCTTCTGAACTCAAGCAATCCTCCCACCTTGGCCTCCCAGAGTGCTGGGATTACAGGTGTGGGCCACCACACTCAGCCTTCTTTATTTATTTTTTATCAATTTTTATTTTAGGTTCAGGGGGTACATGTGCAGGTTTATTAC